AGCTTGTCAATATTTAGTGTGTTTTTTATATTTACTTTCAAATTAAAAAAATTAACTAATGTATGATTCTACAATTTGAATTATAATCTACAATTTGATACCAATCTTATTAACATAAATTCATAAAAAAGTAGTTGAATAAAATTTTGAATGTGAGTCAACAAACATGATGACATAGCCTTTGACCTGTGTCAATAATTTCATTCTGTTATCAATCATCACCCCTTTACATAATTTGAACTTAATATGAAACAAGTATTTTTATGTAACCTAGAAATTAATGCTCACAAAAGCAATTAAGCAATATAATTTAAAACATCATTTATATTTTCAAAAATTTTATATTAATTTAGCAGTTAAACCATTTATAATTTTGAAAACGTTTTCCAAGTAAAAAAATCACATCATTTTAACCTTTTTAAAAATCATTAAAATGTTTTAATTTTGGACAATTCACATTTATAAAGAAGAATCATCTGACTATCTGCTTTCTTTGTTTACAGAAATAATATCCATATTATTCAAATGAATAAAAATGATAAAACTATAATTTCAGCCTGCTATAATACTAAAATGTCAAGATCACATTTAGAAAATGCATAAGACAAAGATTAAAATTAAGGATGCAAAATACAACAATATTGAACCTTTCCAGCCCAGGCATTCTGGGTTGAACTTGGAAAAAAATGTGTGACATCAAATTTTGAATGAAATAATTTGCAAGAAATTTAATCTTCAGCCCTAATTATCATTCTTTAACCTGCTTTTGGAATTTTTATTTAGGTCAGGTAAATAAATAAATTTTGTACTTGTGCAGAGACAGCTTGTCAAAAGATAAAAAAAAACAAAAATGTATAAACTTAGAACAAATTTGAAGTTTACTTTTAATCAAAATAGTTTGAGAATGATGAATGTTTGAAGTTTGTGATGTCAAAAACCATAAAATTCAACTATTTACACATTTTTTTGTTAAAAATGTTTTGTTTCTAAAGTTATAAATATTATAGATGTATATAACTCGAAACATTGGTTCATTTTCTTTCTCAGAGCATCTTGTATGCAGAACTCCCTTCCTTCCTTATACAGAATGGAAATTTTTACAGCAAAAGGGTTAAGAATATATATATACACACACATACATGTGCAAGATATGTAGGAATTATACTTCTATTAACTTAATCAGTTTTTAATCAAACCTTCTCACTCACCCCATTTATCAAGGCCTCGAGATCCAGCTGTCCGCCATGAACCATCCTCATCTCCCCTTTCTAAATCTCGAGGCCCTGCTCTCCAGTTGTCCAACCTTGCTCCATCTTTTCTCGGAATGTTAGATGCATCATCAATACTACCTCCCCTTCCTACATATAATTAACCAAGATGTCTAATTAATTTTTGTGTAATGTTTCTTAATTCCAGAATATAAAAAATATATAAAAATTCAGAAGGAATATCAAATTTTTGTCTTTTGAAATACATTTTACAAAATAATTTTTTTCAAATAATCTGTTTGTAGCACTTAATAAATTCTACACTGCAGAAAATGTCATTAAACTAATTAATTTTAATGAGAATTTCAACTACAAAAAATATGGGTGCTAGATTTCATTTAATGTATTAAGCATTTAAATTTTTTTAGATCAATTTAACAGAAGACATTGACAAAGTGCTATTACTGTCTTTTACAAGCAGTTTATATATAAACACACACCATATATTCCAGTAAATTCAATAAATACACAAAATAGCAAATTAACATGAAATATAATTGCCTCAAGGACATGATAATAGCCTGTTTTGATTACACAGGGAGCATTAATCATCTTATTATTGAAATAGGTATGTCAGCACTATTAACATATGTTTGCATAATTGTTTGTCTGGGCTCCAGTATCTGCAATATATACAGCAGGATGCTTCATTTTGGTGTGGTTTGACACTGTTCCTGTAACTAAACTCTGCATAGAAAAGCCTATATTTTACTTTTTGGTCTCCCTTCATGTCATAATATGCTCAAATAGAGCTATGCTTATTGAGAGCTCCCATAGGCAACATTGCTATTTCCTGATCAGTTTCACATCAATTTGTTGTATCTCTATGTAGAGAGAGATTACGCTGGCAATACATCAAAAAAGTAGTTGCAATTAAACTATTATTTCTGACAGTAACTGCAATAGTTGAAAAACCCAATAACTGTTAATTTTGCTTTGTTTATTTAAATAAAACATTTATAACTCTAACTAATTAATGTACTTTATTGTCTTCTACAGTCTTATATTTAACTTGGTAGTAATATTTATTTGTATTCATAATTATAGCAATATAGGGAATTTGTTCAAAACATAGTGGCAGCATGATGTATTTTTACAAATGCAAGGTCAAGGATAGATATTAGTCTCATCATCTGGAATTAATGCCATGTGACAAAAGTAGGAAGTAAACAGGGAAAAAAGTACTTTGAGTAGTATCACTCAGTTTCTTAATAACTGGCTTAGACTTTTTAATGTTCAATAAATTAAGCAAAATTTAAAATGTTTAACACTT